CGACACGCTGGGGCCCGGGGCGCGGCCTTGCAGCTACTTACGGCTCCGGGGAGGCGCCCGCGTGGCGCGCGCTGCGCTGTCCCCGCCCCGAGCCCGCCACGGAAACCAGCGGCCTTAAAGGGCCGGGAGCGGCAGAGGTGGGCGCCTCCGCCCCCGACGCGCGCTTCCGGAGTCGCCTCCTGCTTGCGCCGCAGACAGGTGCGGGACCAGCGCTGGAGGGCACGGGGCCGACGCAGTGCCGGGAGGACTTTGCGTTGGGGGAGGGGGGCGGGTCGGCCCTTCCCCAGCTGGATCCCCCAAGGTATTCCAGCTACCAAATCTGCTTCCCCGATAGCCGACCCCCGCAGCCGACAGCAGCGTTGGCTGCACAGCGAGGTGCGGAGTAGCGGGCGGGTGCCCAGAAGGTTTAGGGTGCGCTGGCGACCGGTGAGCGTGAAGCCACCTTCCTGGCACTGGCTACGCCCTTGTACTGGTTCCACTTATCTATGTGCTCGTCCTCGCGCGCGCGTTTTGTTTATTATATTTGTGTGCTTCCATATTTTTTAGTTTTAAAGGTGGCAGGTTAGCGGGTGTCGGAGAAAGTTCGCTCCATATGATACGTGGTCACCCACTTGTCCTCGTATGTCCAAAGTGAGGTCCGAAGCGATGTCATCTCTCCCTGGGTGGCAATACAGTGGGAAAGTGACAAAGCCCTTAACTAGAGCGCAAACGCGGACCCGGCACGTGGTGCCCGGGCCTGGATTGTGAAACGGGGTGAGGCGGGTGCGCTGCGGGGTCACGGGCGCGAGGTCGGCCTGATCCTGACGCAGACGTAAGGCCCTAGGCTCCCTCCTCCCGGAGCAGAATGCGCACCTGCCCTGGGGACACCCATTCTTGATGTGAAAGCTGCCGACAGCATGGCACCCACGCCGCGGGCCTCGGAAAGCGTGCAGCTGCAGAGGGCATCTAAGAGTGTGAGCACCCAAGAGTGCGACCACGCGGACGGCGGCACCCTCCTTTTCTTATTTGCTTTGTCCTGACCCCCAGGCCCCCTTACCCCACCCCGCTGCCGCTGCCTCGAGGTGATTCCCAACCCCGGCTGCACGTTAGAATGAACACGAGCGCGTTTCAGCTCCCGGTACTCTGCTACCGGAAGGTCTCAGTTGTGCTTTCGGGCCCAGCATCGGTATTTTGAAGAGCTTCTCTGATGATACCTTCACGTGGTTACCAGCTGGAGGCTTAGGCCAGACCTTTCTGAAACAACCCCTCCACTCGCCTGTCGCATTCCGCAAGGGGGCGTACCAGGCCTTTCTCCTCAGATTTCATTAAGCATCCGACAGAAGGCTGAGACCTGGGGGCACAAAAGTGTCTTGTAGTGAACTCTGCCAGTGAAAGTCTTTTTTTTTTTTTTGCTTTGCTCGGTCGATGTTTATTTGTTTATTTTAAATTTTTTATGTGATAGAATTTATTTCTGAGCAGTTTTAATTTTACAGTAAAATTAGAAGGTACTGAGATTTCCTATACTTCCTGTCCTGAGGCATGCATAGCCTCCCTCTTTAACAACATCCCCTCACCAGAATAGTACATTTGTTACAACTGATGAACTACATTGATACATCATTATTACCGAAAGACTGTAGGTAGTTTACCTTAGGGGTCACTGTTAGTGTTGGTACATTTCGAATTTGGACAAATGTTTAATAACATGTATCCACCATTATGCTGTCATGCAGAGTTCCACTGCCCTAAAAATTCTGTGCTCTGCCTATGCATCCCTCCCACCTCCATAACCCCTGGCAACCACTGATATTTTTACTCTTTCCATAGTTTTGCCTTTTCCAGGATGTCATATAGTTGGAATCATACAGTATGTAGCCAGCCTTTTTAAATTGGCTTCTTAGTAGTATGCATTTAAGTTTGCTCTATGTCTTTTCATTGTTTGGTAGCTCATTTCTTTTCCACAATGAATATCATTCCATTGTGTGGATCCACCACAGTTTATCCATTTACTTACTAAAGAACATCTTGGTTGCTTCCAAGTTTTAGCAATTATGAACAAAGCTGCTATAAACATCCATGTGTATACTTTTGTGTGCACATACGTTTTCGACTCTTTTGGGTAGATAGCAAGGAACACAATTGCTGGATCATACGGTAAGAGCATCTTTAATTTTGTAAGAAACTGCCTAACTGCCTTCTGAAGTGGCTGTACCATTTTGCATCCCCACCAGCAATGAGAGTTCCTGTTGCTCTTCATCCTCACCAGTATTTGGTGTAGTCATTGTTTTAGATTTTGGCCAACTTATAGGCCTGTAGTGGTATCTTGTTGTTTTAATTTGTAATTCTCTAAAGACATATGATATGGGGCACCTTTTTTTCCCCAGTGTTATTGAGATATAGTTGATATAAAACATTGTATTAGTTTAAGATGTACAACATAACAATTTGATATATGTACATATTGCAAAATGATTACCACAGTAAATTTAATTAGCATCTATCACTTCACATAGTTATAATTTTTCCTTGTGATGAGAACTTTTAAAATCTCTTAGCACCTCTCAAATATGCAATATAGTATTAACTAGAGTCACCGTTCTATACATTACATCCCTAGAACTTATAACAGGAAGTCCATATCTTTCCCCCACCTGCCACCCTCTGCCTCTGGCGACCACAAATCTGTTCTCTATTTCTGCAAGTTCAGGGGGGTTTTGTTGTTGTTGTTGTTGCTGCTGTTGTTTGAAAGTCCACATATAAGTGAGGTCATACAGTATTTGTCTTTCTAACTTACTTCACTTCGCATACTGCCCTTGAGATCATCCATGTTGTCACAAATGGCAGGATCTCCTTTTTATTCCTCTGTGTGTGTGTGTGTTACACACATCACATTTTTTTATCCATTCATCTGTCAATGGAACTTAGGTTGTTTTCATGTCTTGGCTACTGTGAATAATACTTCAGTGAACATGGAGGTGCAGATATCTCCTTGAGATAGTGGTTTCTTTTCCTTTGGAATTATACCCAGAAGTGGGATTGCTGGATCATATGGTAGTTCTATTTTTAATTTTTTGAGGAACTCCCATACTGTTTTCCATAGTAGTTGTACCAATTTACATTCCCACCAACAGTGCACAAGGATTCCCTTTTCTCTATACCCTTGGCAACATGTTATTGGGGGTCTTTTTAATAATAGCCATTCTAACAGATATAAGGTAATATCTCATTGTGGTTTCAATTTATATTTCTCTGATGATTAATGATGTTGAGAAAGAACCCTTTCAGTTTTCTGTTTCATGTACCTGTTAAGCACCATTTTATATACCAAATAGTTTGGACCATTCTAAAATCTCATTTCTTATTGTTGAAGTTTAAGATTTTTTAAAAATTTTTGGATAAACGTACTTTATTAGGTGTGTATTTTACCAATATTTTCTCCCAGTCTGTGGCTTGTCTTCTGTCTCTTTTCTCACCAATACCACACTGTCTTGATGAGTGTAGGTTTATAGTATGTCTGAAGTCAGACAGTAGCAGTCCTCCAACTAGAGTCTCATTCAATATTTTTTTTTCTTTGTTGGTCTCTCCCTTTCCTTTTTTCTCTCTCAGTATCTCCTTTCTCTT